TTTCAGAGTAACAGCCGTGTTAGTCTGTATCCGCAAAAAGAAGAACAAGTAGTCGCTAAGGTGCCACAAGTACTCCTGTTCTTTTTGCGGATACAGACTAACACGGCTACTATTCTGAAACCAATCTTTGTTAAAAGGATCATTCTCTGTTGGCAATGTATATGGATGAAACCAGAAAAAAAAAACCCAAATTCTTGTCTTATCCATTTAATTAGGAGTCAAAAGTATCAAATTCTCAGTGTGCAACACATCAACAGATGGATAAGAATTTTCAGAAAAAAAAAAAACCTCGAGTATATTTATTGAGAAATTTGGCTAGATTTGTCATCCACCTGTTGTGTATCAGTCAAAACTTCAATATATTAATATCCACACCTTGTGGCCTGGGTTGACATGTGACAGATGTGACCAGCCTGTCTAATTTTTTGCATTTTCAATATTGCTTCTGTGGCCAGACTGCTTTCTTCTGTAATGAAATCCATGGGAGAGAATTCAAGAGAAGGAAAAATCTTGAGTCCTCCCTGGCTGAATTCCTCCAAAAAATTTTTCATCAGAGTGTGGGGTTTGCCTCTCTATAGCACAGGCTGTTGGGCCTTCCCAGAAATTGCACAGATTCCAAGGTAATCTGCATAAAGGCTGTGTAATTATGGACTGGATCTGTGCCCAGTTACATCGAGTAACTCCACTGATGTCGGTAGAGTTACCTCACATTTACAGTAGAAGCTGGCCCATCATGACATACTTGTGTGATAGTTGTCCTACTTCACAGCATCGCGATGAAATAATTTGCTTCATTCATTTCAAGTCATTAACATCACACACACTAGTGTTTTGATCATCTGTGTACTGTGAAAATTGCTTCATCAGTTTTTACAAGTACTATATTTGTATACAGTAGTAATGTTTTTGTACACAAATGTATTTGCACACAATGATTAATGCCATTCCCATGTTTCATGGTAGAAACTCAGTATGTAGTTATTTTCCTTTGCAAAAAAATATTGATTTGGATTGAGGTGGAGACATTCACTTCAAACTGTTTTAAAAACAGCATCAAACAGCTCTCATCTCAGCTTGTGTATGAAACAAGATATTTACATCTAGGTAAATCTAAATTTTCTCAGCTCTCTGTGAGCTGAGGGGTGAAAACATTATCTACTATGTTTTGCCAGTTTATTTTTTACCATCTAATTAAAACTGTGATCACATTTAATTTTAAATATTGAGAACTTCAGCCAGACAGTTGTCTTATGGGTGAAAAACCTTTATATACATTACCTCTCTAGACCCATTAGATATTTTCAGCATTCTGTCAATGTATTCATTTGCTTTATCATTTTTACCCATCAGCCACAGAAACATTCCTGCATAATATAATGCATTAATTCCTGCAGTCTTCCGGGTTTCCTTTAATTTGTTTTCCAGTTCCAAAACAGCATCACGATCTGAAAGCAAATATCCCAACCAAAAATGTTTAAAACATATATAGAACTTATGTAATGCCAAAATATGGTATTTGGTAGCCAAATGAACCAAAGGCCCCAATCCTGCAAACACTTACACACGTGGATAACTTTTCATGTGGGTAGTTCCATTGAACTCAAAGCTACTCATGCAAGTAAGGGTTTGCAGATTCAGGGCATAAAATAGCAGGCGCTTTTCCTTTTAGAACTGGTATATTTTAACTGGAGTTATTTTTTGCATACAGACAAACTGAAAAAAGTAGGACATCATTCTCTATTACTGTAGGATCTATTCTCCCCATAACATGTGTGGGATTTGAGCCCAATTCTTAGAGGTACCTAGCATCCTACACTCCCATTCACTTTAACATGAATAGAAGGTGCTCAATATCTTTCTTCATATAACCCCAATTAGTTTTATTCTTAGCTCCCTGCCTTTTTCTCCCTGGTATTATGAAATAATCTTGCACGTTGCTTGGGAGATACCAAATACAATAAAACAGATTAATGTCTCCTGGAACTGTCCAAACAATTAGTGAAGGAACCAAGCTAGCTCTCCCACAAGACGTGCAATGGAACTCATAGTGGACTGTTTTGAGCACTATATCAAGAACTGGCCTAATCTAATGACAGTTTGTGAACAAAATTGTGAAAAAATAGATGGCACTGTCACAGACAAAATTCTCAACATTGGGCTTAAGAGAAATGTTGAACACATGCTGAGTACCCTGAAGCCTATTTCTGTAGCCTTGAACAAAATGCAGGGAAATAGCTGTTTTATTGCTGATGCTGTTGAAATTTGGAAGGAACTGAGTGAGATCTTAAAAAGAGAAATATGCAATGACAGAGTTAAATTACAAGCATTAAAAAAACGAATGGGACAAGCACTATCTCCAGCTCATTTTCTTGCAAATATTCTCAATAATCGGTACCAGGGTCAAACCTTAACTGCTGAAGAAGAGGAGTTGGCTATGACATAGACATCCTGCAATCATCCCTCCATAATGCCAACTATAATAAACTTCAGAGTTAAGGGTGAACCATTCAAGAAATATATGTTTGCTGATGATGTTTTAAAGTAAGTCACACCAGTGAACTGGTGGAAGTCATTTAAGCACTTGGATTCAGAGACTGTTGAAGTGATAATCTCACTTTTAACAGCAGTAGCTTATTCTGCCGGTGTAGAAAGAATATTTTCTTCCCCTTTGGACTAATTCATTCCAAATTGAGAAATCGTTTGGGACCTGAAAAAGCAGGAAAGCTTGTTTTTCTTTTCCAGATTATGAACAAACACGAAAATGAAGGTGAAGACAACTGAGTTAGCTGCAGAAGCCAATATTTTAAGTTTCCTCATGTTGACCTGGCTGACACAGTCGATTTAATTTTTATTTTGTGTTTTTAAATATTTCATTTAACTAAACCTGATTTTAAAAAACTTGAATGTTTAACTAAATAAAAAAAAAGTCACATGCTTGTTTTGTTAAAATATTCTATGTTTGCTGTTGAAGAAAATAATCCAGAATACATAATATTGTTGTTTTAGTTAAATAAAACAATTTAAATGTCTGTTTGGTGATGTTCTCCTCCTAATGCAGCATGGCAAGAAAATCCTCCAACTATTAATGATTAACCTATTGAATTGGAGATAGTTCACCTCCCAATGACTTCATAAATATCTGCTTCACTTACCTCTGAATCATTCATTTTCTGATATAGCTGTAAAACTAATCTGAAAAGTTTTCAAAATAAATCACTTTAAACATGGATAGTGTGTACCTTCTAAAAATGAAACCTACATCTGTCTCTGAATTGTGAATAATATGTATTAAGGTTATAACAACCAACAAGAATGCACTTTTATGTAGAAATCCATGATTAAATCAAGTCTTCCTGACTAGTGATTTAAATCACGATTTAAATCAAATCCACCCTGATTATTTTTGCATATTAATAAACTGAGAATTAGTGAGGTTCTACTATAAAACTGATATAGCACATTTTATCCCCAAGGATCCCAAAGTGCTTTATTAACTACATTCATGTGGCAATTATTAGCCTTTTTCTAAGGTCAGAGGACAACTACTAGTCAGAAAATGAGTGCACAATATGCTGCACAGAAGTAAGGATGTGTGTGTGGCGAGAAGGGAGGGATTATTCTGGCCAATGAAACCAAGGCAACTACCCACTCTTGCACAAGTACTATGGGACTGGTAATGTCCACAAGAGCAGACAGAATATAGGTTTTAAGATCTCATCTAAAAGATCCATACACCGCAAACTGCAAGTAACTCACTCACCTAATTTACAAGGGTGAAGGGTATAGTCAAACCAGGCAGGATTTAATGTAGGGAACTCCTAGGTGTTTCCTGGTTCTAGGAGAGTCTAATTATTTCCAACCTAATGCTTAAACAACCAGACCACCCTGAACTCAGACCAGTCCTGAAGGCTGTTGTTTTCAATAGTAAAAAAAGATGTGTTGTTCACAATAAGAAAGCTAATTCAAGGCAAGTAACTGTTTTACCTCAATGTAACTGGTCAAGGCATACCATAGGAGGTTTGTCCAGGGTATATGTCAGCTAGCTACATTATGGTAAAACTACTGTTTGCCTTGTCTTCATGAGGATTTTATAATGAGATAGTTATTTCATAAAAGACACACCTTGTTCCTTCGTGAAATCCCCAAGTTCTCCAATACCTAGCACGTATATAACGCTTTACAAGTTCAAAGTACTGTACAAACTAACTAATTAATTCTCAAAACAGCCTGGCAGGCAGATAAATGAGTGGTTGGGGGCAGGTTGCCCTTGTCAGCAGCGGCACCAACTTTCTCTAGCGCCGGTGGGTGCCTGCGCCCCCTCTGCCCCTTTTACCGCCCCGACTTCACCCCATTCCCGCCCCTGGCCCTGCCCCCATTCCAATCCCATCCCCAAAGTCCCTGCCCTAACTCCACCCCCTCCCTGTCCCTATTGCATCCCTTCCTCAAATCCCCACTCTGGCCCCGCCTCTTCCCCCAGCGCACAGCGTTCCCCCTCCTCCCCCGCGAATCAGCTGTGTCCCGGCGCAAGGGCTGGGAGGGAGGAGAAGCAGGACGCGGCAGTGCGCTCGCGGCGGAGGTGAGTTGGAGCAGGGCGGCGGGGCGGGGCCACGGGGTGCTCAGCACCCATCAATTTTTTTCCGTGGTGCTCCGGCGCCTATGCATCAGTCAGTTTAGCAATTAATGCAGCAATATTTCTTTTTGGTGCTATTCCTTTTAACAGTCAGTTAGAATCCTTTTAAAAGACATCAGTTAGGGCACATATATTTCCATAAAAATACTTTCAGGCTACTTTCCCCCTATGGTCTTCATTTGACCTAAATATGTGAATGCAGCACAAGGCTACTGATTTGGTCAACTTTCTGATTTTTGTAAGTTTGTGATGAATGACATTTAACAGATAAGAAAAACTCACCAACATTTTCACATATTTTGTGTGCATAAATGAGTGCTAAAAGGCAGCATAATGAAACATCAGAGTGGCATTTCCTGGCATTCTCTAGCTGTAAGATAGCATCTTGTATTTGGCCTGAAAAGACAATGCAGATAGCAGATTCACTAATTTTCACGTTTTAACGATCACTCAAAGAATTCGCTGTATACCCAGCTCGGAGACTCAGGCTAACTGAGCAGTACATTTTAATTACATGTCCTTGGCACTGGAGCTACCTTGTTCATATATGTATATTTAGTTTGCATCTAGCTTTGGGATCATTGGAACATTGAGGAATAATGTACTATGGGGGTATATTATGTGATCTAGGTTCAGGTCTCTCATTACTGGCCTGATTTGCTGTTTACTCCTGAGGGAATTCTGCGCCCCTGTGCAATGCAGAGTTTGCGGAAATTGACATTGTACACGCTGAATTTCCTTTACCTCACAGAAATGGGCTGCAGTGCTGCTAACCACCACTATGGGCCACTGGACTTGGCAGAGCCCGCCCAGTTTGCCTACATAGATGACACTGCTGGGGGGAGGGAGAGGGAGTTAGAGGGTTCCTGGCAGCTGCAGTTCCCAGCATGCCCTGAGGGAAGGCGAGAGCAGCGTGCAGGAAACTCTGTGAAAGCCTGGGACTCAGCATCAGGCTGTTTCTCTGGGCGGGAAGGGGGATGGGTGTCTGGACAAGGGGTGGGGGGCCCACAGTTGGGCTCTCCGGGGGTAGAGGTTTGGGTATTTAGGCTGGGGAGACTGCGTAGCTGGGTTCTGGGGGGGATGGGGTGTGGGTATCTGGCCTGTGGGGGCCCCACGGGTGGGCTCTGGGGAGGAGTGGGTTTGGGTGTTTTGACTGGGGGGGAGGGGTTGTGGGTGTCTGGACCCCCAGCTGGGCTCTGGGGTAGGGGGGAAGGGGGCAGAGAAATAGGAACTGGGTTGTCATAGGGGTTTCTTAACTCTCTACTCCTGGGGAAATTTTCGTGTGTGTCTGTGTTGTTACAGACATACTTGCTGACAGGTATGTTGAAATAAATTACCCAAATAATTGAAACTGGAGTGATTATGTACTGTTATTTTGACAAATAAAGTTTGCAGAATTTTAAAATATTGTGCACAGAATTTTTAATTTTTTGGTGCAGAATGCCCCCAGGAGTAGCTGTTATACAAGAGGCTCTGGAAAAAAAGAATTGCTCCAAGTTGAGCAGTTCCCTACTTCCTACTCACACACCTTCATTTTTTTTTCTTTGCAAGGGTGGAAATTAAGATACAATATAATTATCTGATTGATTCTTGGAGAAATGATGCAGTACATGTAGCAGGAAACTTGGTCTGAGTGCGGTATGCATATGATTGAATATTATCATAGTTTTGTCTTTTGCTGGCTCATAGAACTGTTTTGTTGTATTCTGGTGCCTTATATTACATTGAGCAATAACTTGGGTATATATGTGAAGACCTGCAAGCTTGTCCCAGAGATAATATTGGGAAGGGTATTATAAAAGGCGCCTGGGTCCTTTAATAACACCTGGAACTCTGAATGCAGTAAGGCTAGTTACAAAAATGACTTAAGAGTGTAAACAGCTAATAAACTGTTAAGAAACTTAGAGTCTGATACAGTAACATAAATGTTTAATATTGATTGGGGATAGTATCTCTCTTCTCTATCTGCTCTTTATTAGGTACCAGTATGAAGCAGTAGGAGCCATATGGACGAGCTGGTATTCAAACCACGCATATATGAAACCACAGAGCCTCGTTCAGCCGTGAGGCTGAAGTTGCAACTGCAGACTGACTGTCTTGGGAGAAGATGTTCTCTCTCCTGACCCCACTGACATGCCCAGCCCAGTTATACCAGCTTGGAACTGTGCTGGAAACAGAATTTGAGATTTAGGGATTGGCTACACAGGAAGGCAATATATTCCAGATAAGGCAATGTGTGTATTTAAGCCACTATAGTTATACCTATATAACTCCCTGCGTGGACATTCTTATTACAGTATAAACAGTACCTTTTTCTAGTTTAGTTTATCACTTTGGAAGTGGTTTAAATTAAACCTAGTGGGCCATCTATCTCTTCCTAAACATTTCTGTTATTGAAAAGTAAAATAATCCGTTTTAAACAAGAGAATAAAAAAAAAAACCACAGGTGGAAAGTGAAGTAAGTTCAATTGTTGCTTTTCCTTACCAATATAACAATCACCTCTTCTTTGTATTTACCTAAATGTAAGGTTCCATATGCCTTGAAAAACTGAAACACTGGATCATTGATGTATTTGTCCAGTTCTAAATTTGCAAATTGCCTTACATGGTTGAAATATTTTTCTTGCGCATAATATATAATATAAGCCTGGAGGGAGGAAGAGAGCAGGAAAATTATTTTTTATTTAAGTAATTGTATTCTTTTTAATTTGAAAAATATCTGAAATGAGGAAATTCTTTCACTAAAGAAAGGTTGTTGCTGCTGATTATTCATCATATTATGATCCTTAATTCATAAACTGTAAACCAGATATTGAGGTATCAGTATGACAGCAGAGAGACGGCTACAAAAGGCACAGAATATTTGTAAAAGTCATACTTTACATAATTTGTTAACACAAGAAAGGCTAAATGCTAACCCAAAAGACACTTATTGCTCTGTGCTGTTTCCCCCCCCCAGTTTGTATTATATCAGTTTGTGGGCTTAAAGCCTGATCCAGCGCTGCTGAAGCCAACATGAGTCCTTCCATCTACTTTAATGGATGCTAGATCAGGCTCTCAGATTGTAAACCCTCTCCAGGATGAGGATATATTTGAGTTTCAGGCCCATTTCATCCTTGATGTTTCTGGTCAGTCTAGCAAAAAAGGAGCCTAACAGTGTAAATGTGTTGGTTTTCATGACGCCTGTCAGTTGGAAGCCAGACAGAAATCACTAAATTTATTTCTACTGAAGTCATCAGTTTCCTCTGTTGGCTAGCTAATCAGCTCTCAGTGTGTAAATGGAATTACTCATTAATTTTTCCACTCTACTGCACACTGATAAATCCACAACTGGAGTAGTGTGTCCAGTTCTGGGCACCATGTTTCAGGAAAGATGTGGACAAATTGGAGAAAGTCCAGAGAAGAGGAACAAAATGATTGAAGGTCTAGAAAACATGACCTATGAGGAGAGATTGAAAAAACTGGGTTTGTTTAGTCTGGAGACAAGACGACTGACTGGAGACAAGAAGACTAAAAAGCCACTCCTAAGCGACCAGAGGAGCTAGCGAACAGGAGTGGCTAATAGGGGAGTTTGGCGAGGGAGTTCACAGGGAGAGTGTGAGCAGGGGCTAGATACACCTAACATTCTTTGCACTTAAAGGTCAAAACACCGCTTGATAAAAACAAAGCACCAACAAGGGAACAAGCTTCGGGAGGAAAAAGAGAATGCAGGCAGAAGTCCAGCAACAGAGTGGGAGCTACCCAGTTTATTGCCCCCAATGCAGCATGCATGATTACCTGCCCTATGGACTGGTGGCATACGTATGCATTCGGTGCAAGGAGCTCCTGGCCCTCAGAGACCGTGTATGGACTCTGGAGACCAGGGTGGCTGAGCTGGAGGAGCTAAGGGAGCAGAGAGGTACACAGTTGAGACTTTCCGGGACACAGTAGAACGGTCCCACCCCCAGTCTGACAGCCTCAGGGAAGGCTTGAGGAGGATGAAAGCCTCAGGGAAGGAGAACATCCAACTGGAGCAGAGGGAAACGATCCCATAGTTGGGACCCTCCTCCCAGATGATGATGTGGTATCCTCTCGCACTGAGGATACTTCTCCAGGGGAGGGAACTCCAGTTATTAGGAAGAGACAGGCATTAGTAATGGGCGATTCGATCATTAGAAAGATAGTTGGGTATGCAATGATCGTGAGAACCGCATGGTGACCTGCCTGCATGTTCCGAAGGTTGCGGATTTCTTGAGACATCTCAATGCTGGGGAGGAGTCGGTGGTGGGGGTACATGTAGGTCCAACAACATGGGGAAGGATAGGAGAGAGGTCCTGGAGGCCAAATTTAGGCTGCTAGGTAAGAAATTGAAGTCCAGGACCTCCATGGTAGCACTCTCTGAAATGCTTCCAGTTCCATGCACAGGGCCAGTTAGGCACGCAGAACTGCAAGGTCTCAATGCGTGGATGAGACGATGGTGTAGGGAGTAGGGGTTTAACTTTATTAGGAACTGGGGAAGATTTTGGGAGAGGGGGAGCCTATACAGGAAGGACGGGTTCCACCTAAACCAAAATGGAACAAGATTGCTGGCACTTAAAATTAAAAAGGTTGTAGAACAGTTTTTAAACTAAGGGCTGGGGGAAAGCCGACAGGTGCGGAGGAGCATGTGGTTCGGACATCCCTTAGGGGAGGATCTATAAATGGAGATTCCCTATGTCCTAATAAGGAGGAGAGGATGGAAAATGATAAAATACAGGGAGGATCTCATGAGAAACAGTCAAATTAAAAAAAGTTCCATTCAATTACATCATGCAATTGGAGACAGCCAAAAAATGACAAGTTTATATACCAATGCTAGAAGTCTAAATAATAAGATGGGTGAACTAGAGTGCCTAGTATTAAATGAGGATATTGATATAATAGGCATCACAGAAACCTGGTGGAATGAGGATAATCAATGGGACACAGTAATACCAGGGTACAAAATATATCAGAAGGACAGAACAGGTCATGCTGGTGTGGGAATGGCACTATATGTGAAAGCAAGCATAGAATCAAATGAAGTAAAAATCTTAAATGAACTAAATTGTGCTATAGAATCCCTATGGATCGTAATTCTATGCTTGAAAAATAAGAATATAGCAGTAGGGCTATATTACAGACCACCTGACCAGGATGGTGTTAGTGACTCTGAAATGTTCTGGGAGATTAGAGAGGCTATTAAAATAAAAAACTCAATAAATAATAATAATAATAATGGAGGATTTCAACTATCCCCATATTGACTGGGTACATATCACCTCAAGAAGGGATGCTGAGATAAAGTTTCTTGACACTGGACCGCTTGGTAATAGTGACCATGATATAATTAAATTTAACATCCCTGTGGTGGGGAAAACTCCACAGCGGCCCAACACTGTAGCATTTAATTTCAGAAAGGGGAACTACACAAAAATGAGGAGGTTAGTGAAACAGAAATTAAAAGGTACAGTACCAAAAGTAAAATCCCTGCAAGCTGCGTGGAAACTTTTTAAAAACACCATAATAGAGGTGCAACTTAAATGTATACCCCAAATTAAAAAACATAGTAAGAGAACCAAAAAAGAGCCACCGTGGTTAAACAACAAAGTTAAAGAAGCAGTGAGAGGCAAAAAGGCATACTTTAAAAAGTGGAAGATAAATCCTAATGAGGAAAATTGAGAAGAGCATAAACTCTGGCAAATGAAGTATAAAAATAAAATTAGAAAGACCAAAAAAAGAATTTGAAGAATAGCTAGCCAAAGACTCTAAAAGTAATAGCAATTTTTTTTTAAATACGTCAAAAGCAGAAAGCCTGCTAAACAACCAGTGGGGCCACTGGATGAGATGCTAAAGGAGCACTCAAAAATGATAAGGGAGAAACCAAATGAATTCTTTGCATCGATCTTCACTGTTGAGGATGTGAGGGAGATTCCCAAACCTGAGCCATTCTTTTTGGGGACAGTCCGAGGAACTGTCCCAAATTGAGGTGTCATTAGAGGAGGTTTTGGAACAAATTGATAAACTAAACAGTAATAAGTCTCCAGGACCTGTTGGTATTCACCCAAGAGTTCTGAAGGAACTCAATCAAATGTGAAACTGCAGGACTACTAACTGTCATCTGTAACCTATCATTTAAATCAGCTTCTGTACCAAATGACTGGAGGATAGCTAATATGACGCCAATTTTTTAAAAGGGCTCCAGAGGTGACCCTGGCAACTACAGGCTAGTAAGCCTCACTTCAGTACCGGACAAACTGGTTGACTCTATTGTAAAGAACAAAATTGTCAGACACATAGATGAACATAATTTGTTGGGAAATAGTCAACCTGGTTTTTGTAAAGGGAAATCATGCCTCACCAATCTACTAGAATTCTTTGAGGGGGCCAACAAGCACGCGGACAAAGGAGATCCAGTGGATATAGTGTATTTAGATTTTCAGAAAGCCTTGACAAGGTCCCTCACCAAAGGCTCTTAAGCAAAATAAGCAGTCATGGGATAAGAGGGAAGGTTCGCTCATGGATTGGTAACTGGTTAAAAGATAGGAAACAAAGGGTAGGAATAAATGGTCAGTTTTCAGAATGGAGAGAGGGAAATAATGGTGTCCCCCAGGGATTTGTATTGGGCCCAGTCCTATTTAACATATTCATAAACTATCTGGAAAAAGGAGTAAACAGTGAGGTGGCAAAATTTGCAGATGATACAAAACTACTCAAGATAGTTAAGTCTCAGGCAGACTGTGAAGAGCTACAAAAGGATCTCACAAAACTGGGTCACTGGGGAACAAAATGGCAGATGAAATTTAATGTCGATAAATGCAAAGTAATGCACATTGGAAAACATAATCCTAACTATACATATACAATGATGGGGTCTAAATTAGCTGTTACCACTCAAGAAAGAGATCTTGGAGTCATTGTGGATAGTTCTCTGAAATCATCCACTCAATGTGCAGCGGCAGTCAAAAAAGCGAACAGAATGTTGGGAATCATCAAGAAAGGGATAGATAATAAGACAGAAAA